TATATGATCTATTATATAATTTATTGCAGTTAAAATGAATTCAGGTTATATGAATCGTGATAGAAGCCGTAGTCCAATCGGGTCTAGGAATAATGAATTTAAAAAAGTACTGGTCTCTAATATACATTTTGACTACAAACAGCATGAGTTAGAAGAGTTGTTCATGAAAGAAGGTATTAGTATGTTATGCGATCATACATTTTTGTTCTATATAAAATTAATAATTAAAAATCTCCAAATTTTTATTTATTTATAATGTACCTATTAATATGTTTTGTTTTAGTTGGTGATGTCACATTTTTAAAAATATATACAGATAAAAAAGGAAAATCTTTAGGCATTGGAACTGTTGAGTTTGATAAAGCAGAGGCTACTCAAAAAGCTATTAATAAGATGCATCTGTTCAATATAAATGGAAGAAAACTAGTTGTTAAAAGAGAGGTATCAAATCCTCCCTTAATGGTAATAATGATTCTCTTGACCTTTCTTTCATCTCCTTCAGTGTCTCCTTTCATAGTACTAGAAACTACTCATTTTTTCTTAATTCCCCACTATCGCTCTTCATATGGCTAAAATCATCCGCTGTGTAGAATGTTAGGACAACTCAATAAGTTTGGCCCTGATCAAATTTTTTTTTTAATTATCATGTGTTAACAGTGTTTTTACTGTCATCAAAATTATTGTGTTCATCATTTATAAGCACTTAAATTATTGCCTGTTTAAAATAAAATAAATAAATAAACTAAACTTTTGTTTTAGGATAATGTTGAAATAGACAAGAGTGGCCGTCCAATAACAAATAGATCACGCATAATTGAAAGTGGCAGTAATGTTGAAAACAATACTTATGGACTTTCTCCGGAATTTCTTAAATTACTTAATATCCGTTGTCCACTTATAGATCGTATATTTGTTAAAAATGTAAATTTATTTAAATTTGTATATTTTTTTATATTTCATTGTTAACATTTATTTAGCTTCATTTCAAAGTGGATGAAGCAAAACTTAATGAAGTATTTAAACTTGCTGGTCGAGTATTAGAAGTCAAAATATTTAAAGACAAATTAGGAAAAAGTAAAGGATATGGACTAGTCAAGTATAACCATCCAGTTGAAGCTGTTCAAGCTATTTGTATCCTTAAATATATTTTAATGTTTACAATTTATTGTATTTAAAATGAAAATTTTTCTTAATAATTTATCTTCAGCTATGTTTAATAATCAAGTTTTGTTTGATTGTCGAATGTCTGTATGGTTTGATCGTATGAAAGATCCTTTTGCAAAACTTCCTGAAGGCTTAAAATCGACAGGAATGGGCCTAGGCCCAAATGGAAAACCATTGCATGATATTGAGAGTAAGTGATGGTGATTTTTTAATATCAGGGACTACTGTTATTACCTATTACATTAAATATTTAATAATTTAAAACGAAAATTATTTTTGTTTGAAAAACTCAGAATTTTGATTAATATTTTTCATAGTATTTAATAATTTTAATATTTAATATATAACAAAGGTAGATAAACAAAGTTGTGTAGATTTTGACATTTTAGATTTTATTTCAACATTTAATTTCTAATAGAACATTAAAAACTTATATTCCTAATAAATTATTATTCTAAATTTGTTGTATTTGTTTTGAATAGGAAAGCTCCAATCAAATTATACTTCATAAATACAACCTGAAGCATTAAATACATTTAATGTAAATTTCATATTGAACATCTAATATATGATATAATATTTGATTTTTTTATAATTTCAAAATATATTATTATTTTTAATCATAATAAAAAAATAAAAGTGTAATTTTAATGCATTATTTTTGTTTCACTGACAACCACAAACTTGAATTTATGATCTTTAAGTAATCCTAACAAAAATCATTGGCATCAATCACTGGCACAACAGGTAAATAGAGCGCTGCACTCAAACGCGTTTAACGGTGTTATAAAAATCATGGTCATCACTGACGGGTTAACATCAATACTAATAATATAATCAAATTCTAAAATATTATACGTGGAATGATTATAACAAATGTCTCAAAACACGAGTCTCTTCCAGGATATTCATGTATTAAGGCTTCTGATGCTATGGTTCTAATTTACACAGTACACCCTAATAATACTCAATATTTTCATCTCTGCTTACTCCGTTCATTATATTAAAGGACCCACATCATTTTAGATTCTGAGTGGAACGACGAATGTATTGGTTTCGTGTATACATTTTTTTTTTCTACCAGCAATTTTGGTCTGTTTTACAATGATCTAATAAATTAGAAAAATCAGGTATGTAAAAATGGTTTTTTTACCAACTTAGTACATGGTCCGTAGATATGTTCAAATATGATACATACCTCATATAAATAATGACATAATAATATGGTGTTTTAAGGTAAAATAAAATTGTTAAGTATCTAATTAAATAATTTACTGTTCACATGGCGAATAATATATAGGTATAAAAAAAAATGTTAATTTTTGAAAAGCCTTGGGTGGAAGCATGGCTCCCTTGGTCCCTCTCCTGAAGTCGTGCCTGCAACCAACCTGATACTAAACATTTATAATCCGAGTTATGAAAAACGTTTCTGTTCCATTTGTGTGTATATTATTTGTAGTAATAGAAAAATGGGGATCCTGGAGCAGCCAGATATTTACACTTTTAAAAACTAATTTCAGAACTCTGTTCACATTATTTTCATATTATTCTATGTTCACATACTTATATTAAAAAAAATTTAATTTAATAATATTTAAAAAATTAATTTCTTATCTCCATTCACATACTTTAATTCGATAATATATAACCCTTAAGGATCTAATATTTAAATTTTCAAGATATGGGATGTCCATGACACGTGTTCATGGACATAGAATTCTTATATCAAAACAAGAGAAATATGTATTTATTATTTTTAAAGGTTTAAAAAAATTTTTTTTTAATTATTATTCTTTTATATTATTTGTTTTTATTAAATTATTAAGGTATTCTCTGAAATTTTCTCTTTTTATTGTTGTTGAATAATGTCCCCAAGCTACAGTATCAATACCATTTTCTAGAATATATCTTTTATCATCATATGCACTAAGATCTTTTTTGTTTTATTCAATAGTATATTATGTTTATTTGTTCTAAAAGTGTTCTGTTTGACATATTTTGGATTTTTATTTTTTAAACAATTACAACAATTATTAAAACTTAATCATTTTTAACTATGAGTTTTTTCACACCTTTGGCTTTTTTCATTTTCAAATACTTTAAATGTATATAATTCAGATGTTATTCCAACAAAGTCATTATTTGACCATGAGTTCACCTTTAAATTTTCCTGGAACTTTTTTATTAATATTCTCAGGATAATCTGAAAAATCAAATTCATTTAAAAGTTGTTCATTGTTTTTTACATCTGTATAAAAGTTTTCAGTTGTAAATTCTACTATAAAAGAATCTGTATCTATGTATAATAGTCTAATATTTTTTTATATATTTTTTTTTAATACATTATAATAAAAATCATAAATTCGAGTTTTAGATAAATCTAAAATACACATTCTTAAATAAAATGGTTGTTTTAATTTAACCACAGATTTTTTCATATGTAAACCTACTAAGTTTTTTACAAAATTTGGTTTAGCAATCCATTTTTCTATTTTTTCCTCGTCATTAATTAATTTTATATCTTTATGGTTTCTTGTGTTCATCATAGTCCTACCAAATACACTGTGGTTCATTAACAAAGATTTTTGTTGAATTCTATATACGGTTTTAGCCAATCTTTTTGATTAAATTTTATTACCCTATGTATTTTCTATATTTTTAAACCTAAACTTAAATACAGCTTAAGATTAATGTAATGTAGAATATATTTTTTCTTATCATATAGAATCGGTGTTAATTTTGATAATTCTTTATTATCAAATACATTTTCAGGAGCCAGTGGATAATCTGAATGAAGATCGTGAAGTTCTTTAGGATATTTCAAATCTACTTTAAAAATATAACCATTTTCCTGGTCAACTTTCAATTTTAAAATTTTTTCTATGTCAAACCAATCGGGATTACTCCATTTAAATTCTTTATAAGGTAAATATTTACACATTCCCCATCCATAGAGATTATTTTCATCCAAATCTAAGAGATATTTCATTAATGTTTGTTCTTTTTTGTATTTCTCTCCAATATATTTATTATTTGCTTTAGAATATCTAATACTACATTGAGATAAACCTCTTCGTATTCCATGTTCAAACATTAAATACATATCAATATCTGTTAATAGTTCTAATTCTACAACTGTTTTTCTAATCATAGCATTCCACGTAAAACCTGGAGTTGTATAATAATGAACAGAATCCAACTTAAAATGACTTTATAAAACATCTCTATAATTTGCCATTACATCTGTAATGTATGTAATAATACGTCTATTTTGTTATAAAGTTCAGTAAACCCTTTCATATTTTTTATTTCGAATGTTTCCCATATTTTTTTTAGCATTTTCATAATGCTTTTTGTGTTACATATTTACCCGTAAGAGAGCTGTAAAATTTATCTATATATGGTAGAGATTCTTCATCATATTTTTCTGGAGAATCCATATACACATAAGGATATTCCAATTTTCCCTTTACTAAATCCAATTGTTCAGGATAATGTTTAGACAATTCTTTAAACCGGTTTGGTTTTAAAGTATTAGCTAATTTTTCTAAAGAACTAGATAAGAACTTGAAAAACTTCAACATTTTTTAATCCCTTGGTAATAGGTTGAAATGTTTTTTGTTTTTCTAGTTCATCGTTTATTTTTTTCTCAGCCTCATCTTTATATATTTTTCATAACTTTCTTTCAAGATTAATTGTTTCATTAATCTCTGGTTCTGTTGATTCTTTTTTTTCTTTAAAATGTAATGTTTTTTTTGTATTTCATTCGATTTTTTTAAGTTTAATCCATTTTTAATTTTTTTCTTAAGATTGTTTTGAGTTTATTCAAGTGTTCTAATTTATTGAAGAAAAATACATTTTTTTCAATAAATTTGTATTAACTGATGTTAATATATATTGCCTTTTAGAGCTAATATTTGGTAATGGTAATAAATTATTTTTATTTCAAAAATTATAGCCTTTTGGTGACCTTATGTGCAGCAATATGCACAACATTATCTATTCATCTGAATACCTTCTGCCTTCTGCGTTTTGGCGATGATATAGTAAGAAAGTAAATCAAAAAGGCAACAAAAAAGGAGTCCTATAATTTTTCGATTAAATCATTTTTTCTAGTAGTGAAACGTCATACGTGTTTGAATAAAATAATAAAATCGTGAAGCTGTACCTTTGCCTACGTTTTTTTCCACTTAAGTGCTTTTATTTAAAAAACGGCGTCAAAAATCAAAAATTTATCTGTTCAAATTACTATCTAGACAACTTGAGCTTTCAGAAAAGTTGCTACAAATATACATCGAAGCAAGTTTACTAGGAAAAAATGTATTTACAGACTAGAACAAAGAAAAAAAATAAACTGCATTGTAAAACCAATAGCTTATTCGCTACACTTGGAATCTAATACAGTAAAGTAAAATTATATAAAATGAATAAGTAAAAAAATATGTAGGGTTTCCGTTTGGAGACCCAACAAAAAATAGTTGTAATTGTAGATTACTAAAATATTAAAAAAAGATGAGTTATAATATTTTATACATTAGTATAAATCTTCATATCGTTTTGTAAATTGCTGAATGTACAGATCATCCTCTAACACATTACATTCTTAAGGCTTTAGTCCTGTATGAATTCTTTTATGTTTCTTTAAGTTAGATCTTTGAATAAATGTCTTCTTACACTCATTACATTGATATGGTTTTTCTCCCGTATGAATTATCATATGGTTGTTTAAAGTATACTTTCTAGAAAATGTCTTGTAACAAATATTGCACCCATAAGGCTTTTCGCCCGTATGAATTTTTTCATGATCATTTAAATGGTATTTTACAGAAAATGTCTTGTTACATACATAACATTTATAGGGCTTTTTCCCTGTATGCGTTTTTTTATGTCTTTTTAAGTTGGATCTTTGAGAAAATTTCTTTTTACACTCATCACATTCAAAAGGTTTTTCTCCTGTGTGTGTTCTTATATGATTAATTAAAATACATTTTTCAGAAAATGTCTTGTTACATATACTGCATTCATATGGCTTTTTCCTTGTAAGAGTACTTTCAGGCTTCTTTAAGTTGGAATTTGTAGTAAATGACTTTTCACACATATTAGATTCATACATTTTTTTTTCTATATGAATTCTTAGATGATTCTTTAAGTTAGATCTTTGAATAAATTTCTTCTTACACTCAACACATTGATATGGTTTTTCTCCCGTATGTATTCTTATGTGATTAATTATAGTATACTTTCTAGAAAATTTCTTGTAACAAATATTACATTTGTAAGGCTTTTTTCCCGTATGAGTACTTGCATGGTTGGTTAAATGGTATTTTTCAGAAAATTTCCTTTTACACTCATCACATTCAAAAGGTTTTTCTCCAGTATGAGTTTTTTTATGCCTCATTAAGTTGGATCTTTGAGTAAATTTCTTCTTACACTCATCACATTCAAAAAAATTTTTTCCTGTACAAATTCTTTCACGCTTGTTTAAGTTGGATTTTTTAGTATAAGTCTTCTTGAAAATGACACATTGATCTGGTATTTTAAGGCAGTTAACTTTTTTATGATTTTGTAATACAGATAATGTAGAATATGACTCATCACATACTTTAGATGTGTAGAGTGTTTTAGCCATGTGAGTTTTCATATGGAATTTTAAATTTGATTTTGAAGAAAATGAGTTACTACAATTAGCACATATAAAACATTTTTTTTCAAATTGTGATTCTTTATATAGAATTAATTCCATAGGATCTGACTCAATAGTAATATGACTTTCATAAACCAAACCATCAATGATGTCTATTTCTTTTTTTATGTAGGTATTTATTTCTTCTTTTACTTCTTTAGGTTTATGATTAGATATGTATCTGAAAAATATAATAATCATAAAAATAACTAATAATATAAAAACACAAAAGAAGTTTTTTTATAAAAATAAAATAAAATACAACATCAATGTAAAACTAATACATTCCTCTCACTTTGCTCAGAATCTTAAATATATATATGATTTATATATAACAACATTATAAGATTATAAATTATACATAAAATATACACACATAAGACTTAGTAATTGGAAAAAAAGCCACAAGATAAAAAAAAAAATACAAAATAAGTTGCAGAGATGTCTCGTCGCACGATTTTGTTTTTTTGATTTAATCAACGTAAAAATAATTTTAGAGACTTGTTATTTGCACAAAATACATAAATTAGCATTTCACGAGATTCATTATAAATTGTACTTAGTGATAAATAGTTTGCTCTTCTGTAATAATTTTTTTTTTTTATATAAGCAATTTGAATTTTTAAATAACGGAATATCAAAATTACATATTTTATTATTATAGATTATTATTACTTATTACTTATTGCTGTGTATTCATGTGAACTGGGGACGAATTATTTAATTTATATCTGTACGCAATAACAAACCATTGCTAACGACAAATGATTCGGATTAGAGTTTAGTTATACATATTTTGAAATGCTGTTAATTTAAAAATTTTAAATGCTTATAAAAAAAATAAAACTATTTTACATTAAAGAAAACTGTTTTTGTATCACTAAGTATAAGTTAAAATGAACCTCGTGGATTTTTTTGTCCGCGACTTTTTCATCCTGAATTTATAATACTCACTCTATTTGCATTGATTTATTTTCGTTAAAAGAATTGCATGGAGTGGTATCATATATAAATTCTTCTTTTATTGGTCTAAATAAGAAACAAAAAAATTCATTTTTAGATTTTTAGATAATCTGACTTGAATAAATTTATAAATTATTAGATAGGTTAATATAATAAATTTTGAAAGAATAATTTAATTTCAAATAGATATTAAACAATTTGCACAATACAATCTAATTCTTAATAGTTTTAAAAAAAAAAAAATATTTAATTAAATTTTAATAATTAATTATCATTAACACAATATATAGGTAATCAATAAGTGGGTATATTCATTATCTTGGAATGTACCAATTTTTTTAACATTTTTGAAACGAGCGACTAATTTTAATTTTAAAATTACAACCTACCTAGTACCTACATAGGAAATACCATTATGGATGGAATATGTGTTGAAATGTTTGATTTCTATCGACCCTTTAATGTGATATTTCACTTTTAGGTTGATGTAGGAAAAAAGCGGTAACTATTCAAAGACCGTATTTCATGCTGCCACACAAATGTTGTTCCACTAATTTCTCCTTATTCTAACTTAAAAATGGAATAACTCGCCAAAGAAATGAGGGAAATCAAAATTGTAATTAAATTAAAATAGTAAATACTAAATACTACATATAAGAGGATAATTTGATGAATTTTTAATAACAGAGTACAATCGGTAAAAACACTTGTTTTTCAAGAAATGTTAGGTTAGGTTCTTTTTATTAAAACTATACATTTTAAAACAAACAAATAAGCTGTGCTGTAAAAAACTGGTAGAACCAAGTTATCAGCTACATATGGTAGGCTATCTTCATAGTGCAAACTGGTGGATATGGATGTTACTATCCACTTTTGACTAATTATACATTATGTTTAGGTAAACCACTGTCATCATGTAATAATTGTTTCCAAATAGTCCTATAATCTAGATCCAGTATTCTTTTAAACAATTAAGTTTGGTTTTTTTACATAATAATGTTTTCATTTACTTACTTTAAATTTTGTTGAGAATTTTCAAAGTTTACTTCCATGATAAATATGTCTATTTTATGTGTTGTTGAATACTGTAAAAATAAACAATAGATAAAAATATTTATTTAAATAAATAACAAACTCCCCGTGGGAGGGCATTAGAACACTTTCATGGTACCTATACACATCATAAGAGGAGACAAATGAAGTTAGATAAAGTCGATAGCTGATGTATTTTGTTTAACAGTATGAAGAGTTCCAAACAAGACTTTGGAGAACTGTTCCATCTCAGATGTTTGCGGGGACAATAGGTGAGAGGAGGTACCATGGTGTTTACAGATGATATACTTAGCTTTGATAAGAGAAAATCTGGAATAAGTTAATAATAGACTTGAAAAATTGATAGTAGAACTTAATGAAAGATGACCAAGGTTAAGTAGAGAAAAAAACAAGAGTATGAATTTGGAGGAATAAAGGACAAGACCTTTAACGAAAATAAGGGGTTATAGGTTTTAAATACCTAGGACGTTTTCTACAAAAAACCGGTAGTTTTCATGAGCATGTGAAAGGGTGTTAGGAATAAAAAGCAATATATTTATTTTACATATTATATTACTGGTTAGTACTACACATATTATACAGTATCATGTAATAGGTACCTACACCACATTTCAATACCGTTTTTGTGCTTATATTCCAATAGTAGTCATTTTTGCTACATTCGATTATAGACTGCAGATTTCGATAACTTGTTCTGATAATTACTTTTGTGAAAGTGTTTAAAATATTATCCTTGAATATATATTTATATATATCTGTTCAGTGTTCAGTCCAGCAACACGCACTTTTATTTTCATCGGTGTCATCATTGAAAACCAAATTTAATTTTATCTAAAATTTTGAATAGGTAAATAATCATGATACACACCACACGACGATAACAATTTGTTATCAGTCATCCAGTCATATATTTTGATCGTGTGAACCGGGCTTTAGGAACCGGTGTCCAATAACACAGGAAAAAATATTGTTTCAAATTATGTATTCATGATCGGTATTGTGCAAAACCACGTGGGTTAAGTAGCAGGAAAATTTGTCAAGCATTATAACCGCCGAGCATATTTCTATATTATGCCGCTCGCGGTTTAAAATACACCTATAAATATCT